GCCATGTGAATTTGCACCTTCGAGTGCGCGAACATTGTCCTGCTCCATTTCCTAAGCTTTTTGCCCACCTCTGTTAGCTTGTGAAAGAGGTTGAGGTATGGGTCAGAGTGACCCGAGTTGGCGCTCCAAGCTCCTTGGACAACCTCTTTAAAACCGGGCATTTTGATCCAAAAGTTTTCAAAACGGAAGGGTTTTGATCTCTGCGGGCCTTTGTCATTCGCGAGGAGGAGAGGGCAGTGGTCTGATAAGGATGACGAGAGCGCGTGGAGGATGTGTGTGCCAAAGTCCAAGTCCCAATCTTCGTTGCAAAAGAAAGAGTCAAGTTTGCTGAGAGTTGGGTTGGTCTGCTCATTGCTCCATGTGAATTTTCTATTTTGCAAATGGATCTCTTTGAGCTCACAGAGATTGAGCGCGTTTCTGAAGCGGACGATATGACTTCGATCGACATTTGGCTTGTTCTTATCTTACGCACGGTAGATTTGGTTGAAATCACCGGAAACCAACCACTTTGAACCTGGGGGTGGCTTCTCGCTGATCAACTCTTGGAAGAAGGCGTCCTTGAGATTGCTTCGTGTCGGGCCATAGACAGTGGTGAGCTTGAAGGTTGTGGTCGAGGAAACGATCGTGACTGTGCAGGAGAGGAAGAAGGTGTCAATGCACACATCCTTTACATCAACCACACTCTCATCCCAAAGCAGCAGTATGCCACCACGGGTGCCAGTGGCTGGGCGCTGAACAAAGTTTTTCAGGTTGTGGCCACCAAGGAACGAAGCGATGAATGGGTCAACGAGCTCTAGCTTGGTCTCTTGTAGACAGACAATGTGGCAAGGGGTAGCAGCGATCGTCTCTCGGATAGTTGCTCGACGGTCAGGGCAATTTAGACCTTGTACGTTCCAGTTTAGGATGCTAAGATTTTGATCTATCATGGATAACCTTGATTACAACAGTTCTGGAGCTGCATATGGAGCGCATGCATCCAACTTCAACAACAAATGCCACTAGCATTTCACGGTAGCTAAGGGGATACATAGAAGCCTCGCCAAGGCAAAAGGAGGCAGGCATCAACATGGATGGTTGCAACCAGGCATACAGGCACACACACATAGAGGTTGTATCTAACATGGAGATGGAAAGGACATCATCAGCGTGGGCATCAGGCTGCGCCATCACTCCGCCTCAGCGGACACCTCTGCGCTTGTTTCCTGGAGCTCGGTACCTGCCTATCCACCATGCTCAAGCAAAGCAGCTTCAACGGCATTCGCCATATCACAGTCGAGGTTGAACAGAGTCCGAAGGGCCGAAACTGTGATGTCAGGCAGCTGGCCATGGAACATGGCCACGAACTTGTTGATGGCCTCCTCGGTGACTTGCTGCCCCTCGTCGATGACCCCCATGCGCTGGCGCAGCAACTTCTCCGCCATCTTAGCAATCGGAAGCTTCCTCTGTTTAACCTGGAGACGTGGACTGGAGCGGCTGATGTTGAAACCCACCACTCCAGCAAGAGTCTTTCTTCTCTTCGATGGCGGCCGCGGCCTTGGCGATGGAGACTTTGGCGCAACAAGCAATGGTGGCTGACACACCTTGAACAGAGGGGTGCAAGGCAGCGAATCCGGCGCCGGGACGTGGATTGGGGTGTCCGGCTCCAGCACAGAGGTTGGCGCAGGCTTAGAGCACACAGAGGGAGCGTGGGGTGGTGTGGCAGCAGCAGCAGCATCATCCCACCCAGCAGGAGAGGGGGCCGGGATGATCTCGATCACGTCCAGGTTGGTGGTGCGGGGTGATGCCGCGGCTTGCAGGGGGGTGACCGGGCACACAGCCACAGGGCGCGGACTGGAGCCAAAACAGGGGGCGAGCCAACGCCGCCAAGGGGCTTCACCAGAGGGGTCGCTGAGTTGCACCACATCACAGGAGGTCGTCTGCGACGAGGATGGAGGCGAGCGTCCACGGGTGTCTTCGGAGCCCGGGCTTGCATCACCTCCGAAACGCCCAAGTCGTGTCTGGCAGTCGTCAGGTCGACGACGGCCGCGCCTACCAGAGGCCGGGATGACTGCACCGTCCGGCAACCGCTGCACCAGCTTGGAGTCGATACGTCGCGCGTCCCGGGCCTCAGGACGGCGGCGGCGCCCATCACGACCACGACCATCGCGTCGATCATCTCTGTCCTCTCGCCGGCCGTCGCGCCGGCCGTCATCATCACGGGTTTCGGAGCTCGCGACCTGCTCCTGAAGAAACGGTCCCTCCAGGAAGAGGGGCGCTCATCACGGCCTCGACGGCCGCGGTCGCGGTCATCGTTGTGGCGGTCTCTGTCTTGATCCTCATCACGACGGCGCACCGCCACCTCCGACCTGTCTCGTGTTCTGGACTCGCCATCAATGACCCCCAGGGTGATGGAGAACGGGTGCGAGGAGCGAGGGCGTCGAGGGATGTTGCCGTTGATGTCGGGCGTGAAGTCTTCCACCAGGTCGAGGTGCACCAGGAGGCGGCGCTTGAGGCCGCGTCGACCAACAGTAGCACTCGGCCCATTGCTGTAGCCGGCCGGCTGGTTGCCGGTGATCGTGAGACGCAGCACCTTTGTGATGGCGGAGGGGTTGGCGGACCACGCCCAGAGACTGAGGGTGGATGAGTCCTCTCGTTGGACAGTGGCGACGTCGAAGTAGTGCAGAAAAGTGTCGGGGCCGAGCACCTGGGTCGCCACCTCGTCGCACCAAGCGTGGAGCGACAGGTTCTCGATGCAAAGATGGACGTGGTAGTAGGCCTCCACAAGGTCAGCGTTGGCCTCCGGCCTCCATTTGGTGACGTGGATGTCCAGGCCGCCATGGCTGAAGCGACCAGGCGAGGCGGTGGCGATGTCGCAGTGATGCGGGTGCGTGAAGAGGGCGAAGAAGTCCTCCGGGTAGTGCGGCACCACCTTGATGTACTTGCGGTCGATGACGAACTTGTTGGCGAGGGCGTTCCTGATTTCTGCAGCGTTGACGCGAGGGCGGTTCCCACCGATCCAGACCAACGCGCCCAGGTTGGAGAGGGAGACGGCGCTGGCCTCCATTGCCGGCGTGGAGGAGATGACCACATGGGCCTCCTCCGGGCATAGCGAAGGGTCTCCAATGCGTGGCATCACAGAAGCAAGGGGCTCCAGGCACTCTGTCGGGGAGACGTGGGGCGCAGCTGATGTTGGCGACGACCGGAGCAGGCACCACGACGAGGAGGCTTGGAACGCAGTCGCAGCTGGAGTTGGCGAATCACACCTCGAGGACGGGGGCGAGGAGGCGGGCGACACAGTGCAGTCACGGGCGCGGTGACCACACTGCCGACACTCCCGACACTTGAATGGGTTCCGGCAGTCGGCCTTGGAGTGGCCAACGTCGAGGCAGCGGTGGCAGGTGCGGAAGCGGTGGGGGACGAAAGATCTGCCTGTTGGAGGGGAATAAGAAGCAGCAGCTCTCCTCCGTCTTGAATGCTGGTAGCTGGGGAGGGAACGCCACCAAAATGGTGCTTTGACTAGCTGCCAACCATCATCGGAGCTTGCGCCAGGGGACACGGCCGGCTCGGGGCTGGAGCGACAGGACGTCCACGCCGCACGCCGGCGGGTCTTGAAGGCGCCTGCAGGAGCAGTCTTGAGGCAAGGCCGGTGCGCGCCTTGAATGGGAGGGGTGGGGTGGAATCCAGCACCATGGCATTGAATGCAAAGCTGACCGAGCGCGGCCGCACCGCACCCGCCTCCGCAGGGTCCTCCAGCAGGGAATCGGCGACAAAGGAGGAGCTCGAATTCGCATCGACGCGCAGCGGCGACTCCAGATCTGCAGAGGGAGCGACAGCCAGATGCAACGGGGAGGGGATTGCGGCCGTCCCCCCTGAAGCGAGCGGCCATGGGAAGCCAGGCGGGTGGAGCGGGGACGGCGGGGGGCTGCCCAGAGGTCGGGTCTGGGGCAGGGCAGCGGCGGCGGGGGCGGCTGCGGCAGCGGGGGGTGGTTGCGGGCGCCGGGGCGACGCGTCGCAGGAGCGTGGGCGTGGGGCGCGTCATTCCATGGCCCTAAGTTCCAAGTCAATGCTGCCTTTTGTCATGACATAATATCCAGTGTCTGAAGGCATATTCATATCAACCACACCTAGCTAGTCCAAGAAGGTGGTGCTTTCACGCTTCGGTTATCACCTTTGATTATGCTATATATAATTAATACTTATAATTATTGGTAAGCATGATACATGAGTGGAGAATCGGTGTGAGCTAATAGTCTGGCAGCCTAGACTTAGACTGCTGCTTTCGTTACGTAGGCAAAACGCTTCGGGAGATGGAGACTACAGAGAGCCTCTTGTCTTCCTGCGTTCTCAACTGGTGCTAGAAGATTATTATTTTCTCCGTCGACAAGCTGGACAAGTTGATGGCTTCGTTGTTGTTGTCAATTATAGGCCCTTTCTCGCCTTCATAATAGGCCTTTTTCCTGTGCACGTTGACCTAGGCTTTGAGCTTTGAGAGCCTGTCAAGTCGCCTGCGTGAGTGAGTTGGGGAAATGAAACTGGCGTCTCTTGTCAGGAGGTTTGTCCGAAGCAACCAACCAAATCGATCATTGTCTTGGGCCCTGTAGCTTTATATCGGTATTATTAATCAAACAACCTGTAATTCCTTTTTTAATGCACTACGATATTGCTACTACACTCTTAAAGAGGAAAAATAATAATCTTCCAGTCTCATGGTTTGATACTACCTGTCTCAAAATGTAAGACGTTTTTTTTTTACATTTTGAGACAGGTGGGGCATTTCAGAGGTAACTGGCGTGATTCCTCTCATTCTGCTCGCCCTGCACGATGAATTTGGTGACAACTCGAACAGTGGAATCCTGGTATAGAATGGCAAATATCAGAATGGACTGCATTAGAAGGCCACTGTTTAGTACCACTACACGACGGTACCGGTACGTACAAAAGGTGAAAAGCTACTACGGCAATAGCTTCAAACTATCCTGCTAATGTACATGTACAAAACAGACTGCGAGGCTGATACATAATCACTGGTGACCTGCACCCGGGCCATCGCTGCTGACCTCCATCTTCCTGGTTTGGGCTCTGAACATGCTAGCAACGTCGGTGGCCGTGCTGCAATCCTCTGGGCTCCTATCCGGAACGCACCGTATGTGCCTCGGCATCCTCACTGAGATCCCACGCGATGGATGCACGACACCGATGGCCGCGTGATGGACAGGGGATAGTGTGAGATCTGCCAGGAAGAAGGAAATTAGACACGCCGTGCTTGCGAGATATCCGTAAATTTCTCCAAGGTCTGTGTGAACTACTATGTGGTACAGGCCCAAGAAAATTAGCCTGGTCCAGGAAAGAATTGGCATTTCCCACAAAAAAGAGGAATCACCGGGAATGAATTGGCACGTTAGGTTCCCTAATGCACAATGCTGTAGTTTCCAAATGGAGATGTTCTCATGACAGGGCTTCACATTTTACCTGCACCTCGGATCTCCCAAACTTGTTCAGCAGTGAACCACAACTCCGGCTGCTCATCTGTTTTGTAGTACACGGGTTTCTTGGGCAGTATCTTTTCACCAGAATAAAACTCCTTCATCTGCAGATCAGATTTCCAGCAATGCAAGGCATAAACATAGATAACAGCAATATACATAATTCTGATTATGGACAATTTTGCATTCAAATTAAAACAATATAAACTAATAGATGCCACGGCAATAATTTATCCTTTTAGGAACAGATTCACTAGAATTGCTAGTCAGCATCTCGCATCCTGTATATCTCTACATAATCATTCCGGTATATGTAATTTTCACAGTTCGTCATTCTTTTGTACTTTCAATTTGTCAAAGCAAATATCACATTCAAGCACGTAAGCAACTGCTGGCATGTGTTCTTAAAGATGCCAGGTTACTACAGGCAAGTGTGGCACGATTAAACGAAATAAAAATTCAAACATACCTCCTTATAGAAATCATCTGAGAAACCAGACATAACACGACAGACACTTTGAAATTCTTCAGATTCAGGGTTGTAGCATGCCATCAGAAAAGGGCTGTACCTGTGAAAACAAACTGAAGCATAAGCTGGGGGCATTTGACTCGATGCGACGGGAAGCGGAGAACCTACCATCCAGCTTTCCGTCCATTTCCATACCATGCACCGATTGGAACTAAGTCAAGGCTATCACCTAGGCCTTCCACATAGTCACGCTTCACCTGCAAACGTCATGCAAGATGTTTCAGAAAAATGTAAGGCATTAAGGCAAATGCTTCTTCAGCATACAACATCAGTTTGCACCTTTAACCATGAATCACAGCGCTTGGAAGCAGAGTATCCAGCATCAATATCAAGAGTCTTCAACATTATACCCTCACAAGAAGACTGGCATGCTTTTTCAAAAAAGCTGCTCATTCTGTGTAAAGTGCTAGAATTATCTATCGATGCTTCATCTTCTTCAACCTGCGTAGAAGAAATCGATTCATCTGCAGTTACAAACATGCATGAATAGATTCTAAACAAGCAAGCACAGAAAGAACGATTGTATACTACGAGCGGTACTCCAGATCTTGCAATTTCAACCAGAGTGAGTTAGTAGTATCCTATGTGACCCCAGCTGACTTAGGTGGGAGGAGTTGACGAACAGTTGCGCCACCTGGCTTCAAATTCCCATGGACTCGAATTTTCCTATCCTCGTATGCTTGAAAAATTAAGCATTAC